ACTTTTACAAGTTTTCTTTAATATACTCTTTTAGTACTATGTGTCAATACTTTCTTTATTTGATAAATCTACCATTTCACTTTTTTTTCTCCCCTTATTAATTAATTTCAGCCTAACATTTTTGACTATCCTTCATTAAATTTAATTTCAGCTTAGCATGCACTCTTCTTTTTCCCTTTTTATTTCTCCCCCAACTAACTAATCAAACGTTAATTACAATTTTTTATTTTAAAGATATATTTGTTAATTTATGATGATTTTAATTTTTTAAAAATTTCTACTATAGTTTATCCATCAGACTTTTTTATTATTTAATAAAAATTTAATTTTAAATCTTATATAAATAAAAATACTTCAATAAAATACATTATAACTATATCAAGAATTCTTATAATGTTTATAATACCCTTTTATAATGTAATAGTTAAAATATTAAATTTTTATCAATTAATATTAATTAAATAAATTACTATAAAATTTAAAAATGATAATCAAAACTCTCTCTATTTTTCTCACTACATAGTTTATTAGTAGATATAAACATATTTTGTTCAATTCTAAATTACTTGATATTCCAAAATATTTTTTTTGTTTGATAAATACAATTAAAAATTTGGCAACTGAAATATTTCACTTTAGTTAATAAATAATGATTAAAATATTTTAATTAATTACATGAACTATATTAATAAAAAAAATCAAAATCTTAGTAATTAAAACTAAAATTTTGAATTATTTTCCGGAATTAAAATAAAAATCATTAATTAAAGTAATAAAAGAAAGGAGAAGGAGAGTTTTGTTTATTTTTATTTTTTTAATTTTAATATTTATTTAACTGAAATTAATAAATAGTTAACATTTATATATATATATTATAACGAACTTGTCACATGTTATATTCATATGTCTTCTTTAATTTACTCTTTTTTAACATATGGCCTGGCTTTCTCTTTCTAGTAAATTTCTTTTTTGTTGAATTCTTTTTTAAATGTGATTATTATAATAATAATAATTATTATTATTAGAGTTTATCTAACCTATGTATCAAGAAATATATTAAGAGTGTTTTAAATATATACTTTTATCACAAATTTATATTAAAAAATAAAAATGAATTCTTAATTTATCAACTGTCTAATTAAATTCATATATTTAATACTGCCACTAAACTTAATATTAATTTATATATTTTTTATATATATTTATAATAAAAGTAATTATTAACCTTTACTATATAAGTTAGAAAAACCTTTATTATTACTAGAGTAAAAAAAAGTAAAAAAATATCATACTATTTAAATGAGTTATTCCACCATCAATTAATATAGTACAATTATATATATTTAAATTGTGCAGTACATTTTTTGCTGCACTTTTCTTTCCATGAACACTTAGAACGTTATTGTTGTTGTTGG